ACGAACCAGACACGCGAAGTGCACTACAATTTCTCTAACAAATAAACGACAGGGGTCTGAAAAATGTATTTCCATGCCACGTGCGATAAATTATATTTGTTGAACGTAGCATGGGAAAAAGTTGAATTCGATGCCTCTTGATGGTGCAAGGGGACTCCATCGTTACTACGACGAAGAAATTCGACGAGCATAGCTTTGAAAGCTATTTATATCGAGACGATGTGACCTGTTGTTCTTACCTAGAGAACTCTTACGTTGAAACTTGTTGAAAATGATAACAAAACTGTCGTTGCATTACACATGAAGAAGATAAATTTTCCGCGCATTGATTTGAATCTTGTGCTGACCTTTTGGCGTAAAATATTGTCATCCGTGATATTTTGAAGTAAGCAGAAGATAGACTTTATCGTACGAAGATTTTATCGAGCCACTTTACTTCTTCTTCTTCTTCTTGAATCCGTTCAAGCAAAATGAAAGAAAGGGTGGAGAAAAATATGTTTGAAAAGTTAATTAAGATCTTCGTAAAAATAGAAGACAAATATCTAAGACAAGAAATTCCTCCTCAGATTATTCGCGATGATCGTTTCGACTCTTAATGTTGGTAACTGATGGCGTCGCGTGTGATTTTGATTAAAACATTTTCTCAGCATTAAATTCCTATCAAAAGAATTTCTTTATTAAACTCTCGTCAACCCTCGTAGAAAGAGAAAGGAGAGGACGGAGGGAGGTATGCTTAAAAATCGTCTTTGCTTTTCTGTTGACAGTTTCGACGTGGAAAATGGCGCTTCGACGTTGGCGGATGGAGGCGGCGGCGGTGCCTCGCCAAGCGCAGGTTTGGTGCTCCAAACTCTGCCGCAGCGACGAGAGAGCTTCCTGTATCGCAGCGACAGCGACTTCGAGATGTCGCCGAAGTCGATGTCTCGAAACAGTTCGATCGCCAGCGAGAGGTAAGCACCCTGGGAATCTATGCTATCTTCAACTTTTAGATCCCTGTCTCGACTCCAGGATAAAGCATCTTTTATTTTTCAATTTTTTTTTTTTTTCTTTCTTCTAATTTTTCTTTTTGGGAGGAAGATCTAATCTTGTAAATAATGAACTGGGAATGTCGGATTGCCGATTATAGTGTTTAGTCTGTGATCGTGATTGTTCTGTATTGTTCTGTTGGAAAATTGCTATGATTTGTCGATTTGTTTGGAAACTGTGGAGTTACTTGCATCGGAGTGTGGCAGTAGAAATAGTCGACTGTGGTCAGAAAGTTTTGACTCCTACATAAATTGGATCTTTATGTCGAAACAAAATTCCTTTATCTAACATTTAAATGATTAATAACGAGATTAAAATGCCCACGAGTCTCTGGAACTTGAGTCGAGTCGAGATGATTAGACGAATGAAAATTTTCGATATTTTAATTTAACATCGTTGGAAACGATTAATTACACATTTGCACTGATTGATTTACCGGAGTAATTAGTACGTGGTTGCGTGAAATTTATTATTACTGATTATTCAATGTTGGGCTGTGGCCGGGTAATTAGACGAATCTACTATAATTTACACCCACGTGGATTGCAGATTCCTCATGACACGATGCCGTTAATGAACTCATTTGTAAACACAACCGTGATAATTGGCCTGTTGCAACATAGTGTACGTCTGTGGTCATGAATAATTAAAAGGGGATTAGAAATCGAATGCTAGGTCTCTGTTTACCCATTAACGTTTTATGGGTTGATCTAACTACAGCATGGTTCATTAGGATTAAACACGCCACCGAGGCACGACTAATCGTGAAATCATTTTATGCTGATTGTGAATTGGTTCTGCATTATCGATTGATAAGAATTGATTTTACCGACTGTGAAAGTAAGTAGATTTCTGTAGATAATTCAGAATACGACGATAGTCGCAATTGTAAGTGCAGTTGATTGATTTTATCGACGGGGATAAAGTAGAAATTGTGGTATTTTAGGAAACATTGTGCCATCTTTACGAAGTCGATAGTATTTTTATGAACATTTATTTGTCGGTATTGTAGAATGTTTTGTGATTTTTGCAAACTTCGAAATTGGAAGAAATTTATGTTGCACATAAAAGATGAAAGGAAAAATCCAATCTGGATCTATATTTTGGTAAAATTTATTATAAGAGCGAAGTGAAAGTGAGTAGTGAAACATTTCAATTTCTGACCATGATCGTGCTGATTCTACAGCCTCTGATCTGTAAATTTTCATATCCGATTGAGAACTCGAATAATTTGTTTGAAGGGTAAAATTATATTTTTATTCCTTTTTAATGCATCCGATCAAAGCGTGTTCATATAACAATATTGTCCAATATTTCACTGGGACAGTCTGCGATCTTTCTTTCTCCTATATGTAGCTTGATAAAAGTATCGTAGCTTTCTATGGTGGTGATGATGACGCTTAACTATCTTTTATTTTTTATTGTTTCACTTGTTCTTGTACATAGAATGTTGTACAACAAGGTTGTGAAAACGTATCGCGCAAAGAGCTCGCAATGAAAATAATTTTCACTTCATTACGATGTTCAAATTTCCGCGAAAGAAATTAATGATAGAAATAAGAAAATAATGATAAAAATCCTTTCAACAAGTACTTCTTCTTCCATTGTTTCAAAAATATTCACGCCTTGTTGCACGAGAAGGAAAAAGAACTTTTCTTTTTTTTTTTTTTTTTTTTCCTTTAAATCGTGAAAAACGGG